TTAACTGCTACCCACCTGAAATCCAAATCGAAATTATGGACATACAGCACCATATACTGAAAGCAAATATATGGAATGTATTTCAACTACACAAAATACAAATTATATAAAATTTTGGAAATTTGTACCAAAGTAGTTTACCAAATTTACACGATTTGGCTGTCAGATTTAGAATCTTGAAGAACTAATCGTAATATAGATGACTTGATAAAAAGCTACAAATTTAAAGCCACACTAATTAAGTACTGATTGTTTAATTTAATTTTTCAAAATTAAATGCTTCAAGATATTCATTTTTATTTTATACATAACCTAGCTGACTGAAGCTTTAAAATATTTATTAACACTAAAAACCTAACCTTTATTTATCGAACTATTATATTATTTTCGAAATCTCTACTACTCAGATTTAGATGATAAACAAATGTACTGTTTGCGTACAATGCGCACAATCAGCTAATAAATAACGCTTTTTTTTTATCTTTTATGTTTTTTAATATGTTGAAAAAGTTGGAAGTGGCATGCATAATTTCTTTTCTTTCTTTCTTTTTTAGAGATAGTGGCACCCAGGTTATCCTGGGTGTATCCAGGTATGCTGAAGCACACCACTGGCGTGCTTCAGCATACACGAGAAGCACAGAAAGCCCAACGCTGCTTTGTCTTTGATGGTTATTGGTTTACTTTCATCAAAGTTAGTGAACCTTGACTTCAGCATATGGCATTTTGTTATTTCATTTGAAAACCATATTTAGTAACTTACATCTTCTGCAACACTGCTGATCATGAATGTGGGATCATTTTTGCATCCTTCCAACAATTTTATGGCTATTGTTTTGGTTTACTTCTGTTCCTCTGATGATACATGAAAGACTATTTTTATCTTAAGTTTCTATTTGTTTAAAACAATAAGTAAAATTTAGTTACATAAATCTCCCATCAAGTTCAGTATATCTGATATAATGAACAAGAATAGAATGATATGTTTGCAGTAATTCACATATTCCACATTTTTAGCATGTATCATCTTCCATTAAAACCATACCTTTCCCAAACCTCTTTGACCATTTAAGCATACAACCCCTTTTGGTTATGTATGGCCAGCACAGGCTCCATGAAAGCAAATTTTCCTAATTTAACAAAGAACTTAAAGTTAATTCTTTGATCCAGATCCGCATCTTTCAGATCATTCATAAAGCACAAACTGTGCAATGTACCAATATAATAAATGGTTTATTACTAACTGTAGTCTTGCTGCCTATTGTTCTAACATGGAATCACTACCAAGATTCTGTATAATCATAACACATATTGAGTAATTTAATAATAACCAGTTTATGTGTTCCAATACAAATATTACCAAGAATTTAAAAAAATCAATTCGGGAACATTTCTGAAAAAGATAATATAATATTTATAATCCAAAGCAATAATAATTAAAAATCCAAATCATTGTATCATAATAATTTCCGGTATTTGAAGTGAGTTGTCAATGAAGAAAGTTCAGGAATCTCTGATGTATACTTCATCACTAATAGATCAGATACATTGATGGAAGCAATATATATTGAATAAAAATTATTACTATATCCATGAGAGTTTCATAGGGTGGGGATGTAGTGTCAAAGATAAACAGAATCAAACTTGTATGAGACCTTACAATGTTCTTCCATGTCTTGCAGTACTTGCTTTCTTTGGGTTAATGACAGAAAACCAGGATTATGATGATTTGTGTCTTGGTTAAATATTAGTTGCTATTTTAAATTTCCTTCACAAGTCAAAGAATATAAAGCAGAATTGTGAAAATTACTGTCCTGTTCACAAAAGAAATGCTGGACAAAGATGAATTATAAAAGATTATATCTAGGTGGGGAACTTTATTTAAAGTATGCAAGGTTTCACACTACCATGTTTGCATACTGATGTAATGTAAAGAAAGGGGGAAAAAGAAGAGGGGAAGAAAAATCTGAAACAGTTTAAATGGTCATTCAAAAGGGTTTATTATTATTATTTTTTTTTTATGCTTTCGCTGAGCTCACAGTCTATCAGTCTGTTGTTGCACTCACTCCTGCTAACCCATTTCTTTTTTATCTTTTGAGCTTTATTAAGCAGCATTTCACTTACATAATTCAACAGCAAAATTACAAACATTTTAAAAGCAGCATATCTTTAGAATTCCAGCTGCAGTGTTGGCATACATTTTTTATTTATTGCAGTTTTTTCTTAGTTTATCATATCAGTGTTCAGTTTTTTTAGTAAGATGGCTTGCAAAACTTTTTTTGGTTAGAGTAGATTGAAAGGAGCCCCTTGTATTACTGCCAAGTTGTTATTTCCTTTATCGCCAAGTTGTTGTTTCATTTATGGTAAGAGTAGCTGAATGTTATGGAAACACTATTATGACATAATCGGTTGCATGATTGCTGTAAATTTTGAATGACAGGAAAAAAAATTTGTAAGGGCTTCTGATGTGTGTTGGTCAGGAAGTACATGACTTGTTTTGTGGTTTAGATGGTATGTGAAATGGCTGAATGTGGTAAGATTAATTTGCAGTTTCTGTACAATTTGGAACGAAAGGGGAAAAGTGCATTAATTGACTGGTGTGTAAATGAAGGTTTACTTAGTAGCTAATATAAGTGTCCTTTTTGTAGGAAGGACATGCGTATGGCTGAACGTCGAAGGATATTTTTGACTCTTATTTTTGTGAATTTATGTGGTGACACCGATATCTGGATTCTAGTTCAGATAATTTTAGGAAGTTTTTGGATGCTATTAAGGGATTTTGCGTGCCACAGACTGAAGGACTCAGAAATTTCTAAATAAGTGGATATTTGCTTTGGATAGCACTTAGATACATAAGATGAATAAGATTTAACTTTAGGGAAAAGAAAAAAAAGCCACATGGAGCCAAATCAGGTGAATAAGGAGGATGCACCATCACAGTAATGTTTTTGCTGTTCAGAACCTGCTCAACAGATAGGACCGTGTGAGCGGGCACATTGTCCTGGTGAAACAGTCATCCATCACTCTCTAACTGTGGTCTTTTTTTCCTAATGTCTTCACAAAGTTTTTTTTAGTATTTCAATGTAGTAGTGTTGATTAACAGAATGACCACTGGGAACCCACTCAATCATGATGAACGTGCTGGGGGCCATCTTGGGTGCCCAGCAAGTTCATCTTGCACACTGAACCTTACCCCTGAAAACCACTTATGCCATTCAAATGCATGTGCACGAGACAAAGATTCATCTCCACAAGCCTCGGTTAACATTTGAAATGTTTCCTCTGTGGCTGATTTCTTAAGTTTCACACGAAACTTGATGTTGATTCATTGTTCAGTTCTTGCATTAGACATTTTTTCTGGCAGAATGCGATTGCACATGTTCACTCTATGACGCAGTACTCCTAAGTGGTGTGATTGGGTAAGTCGAAACTGGCCTCATGGATACAGGAAGTGTATGGCATGAAGTCACCAAAACAGTTGCTGCCAACTCCACTCTTTTTTCAAGCTACACGCTTAGTCTCTCTCTCTCTCTCTTTTTTTTTTTTTTGTCACACCTCGTATGCTAGACGCAATGCTCTTTTACTTCCTTCTAATTAAAAACTGGATAAAATTTATAAGAGTTTAATTAAAGTTCAATGACAGAATATTGTACAGGTGACAAAGAATAATGGCTGAGTACAATTTTTACAGTTTATCAATCAAATTAAAAGCAATTTGATTTCTAAATATACTATATGTTTGTTATCTGCATATGTCAGATGTAACATTTTTCATCTGTTATCATCACTCATTTTATAACTTGGAATTATGTTTTATTGCATTAAAATAAAAATTTTCTGAAATCTTTTTTTTCCCTGGGTTAGGGGGAATATTTACCAATTTATCCATCCATTTCAATGAGCATCACCCTTTCAAGAACTTACACTTACAGATCAGGAATTTGCCCAGGATAATTGGCCTATCAGCCATTCCTGCAATAATTCAGCACCAAGAGTCTCAGGATACATCAAAGAGAATCAACCAGAAATAGAAGATGGTGTCATCAAACATATATGCCCCTAAAAGACACTCAGAATTTTAGACCTTCTTGTAAAATGTTAGGTCAATGAAAGCAACAGTGAATTGAAGAATGTGGATATTTTACTATATCGCGTATCTCTGAAGAACTTACAAACTAAGTGAAAATGAAGAGGATTACAGGTCATATATTATATAATTATAATCAAATGATTTCATATTTATGATCAAATTTATGGCTGTAGCTGCATTTAGAAAGTTCTTGGGATGAATAACTATTTCACTGGGGTTAAAAATCTAACCAAGAATGGGGGGGAAAGAGAAGAATGAATTTGTAATCCATGTAACCATTTATGTAAAATTTCTTGGCGCAAAAAAATTGTGGTTAATTACATTAACACAGTAATTATATAGCTCCCATTTAAGTAAACTCTAGGTAAATTTAACCAAAGATCAAGACAGTATATAAAATTACATTCTGTACTATAATTTTTAGATATTTTATTTTTGATAATAACCTAATTTTAAATCCTAATTTGTCTAAACTAGATGCTTTTCACAAATGGTTCATTAAAGGTAGATACCTAACAGTTATATAACGTATTTTGTTAAGGTATGCTTATTTTCATACATATTCACATATACACACGTGTCGAAAATATAACATAAATATCCGTGAAGGTGAAAGATGAGTATTTAATAAGAAAAATCATATAAATATATTTTTAGTCTTTTATCATAATTTCTGTTTTAGACTTTGAATGAGACTAAATAAGCATTTTTATACATACACTGTTACATAAAATCGTCTATACATTATTTATTATTCTTTATATTTATTTTTTCTTTCGCTACTATTAAATACTCAATAAAAATCTGGAAATAAACACGAACAATTCCTTTTCTGATACAGTACACAATTAAGCAAGTTTCGTAAATCATTGAGCACAAAAACTACAATTTCAAAATAAAAATAAAGCTTACCGGTTAGAAATAATAAAAAGAAATACATCTTCATAACTGGAAACGTTGTTTTGAAACGTCGCTTGCTTGTAAATTCATAAAAATTCCTCATACCTAATGCTATGCGCAACTTCGTTGATGTAAACACACTGTCATTAACTCTTACACACTGTCAGACATTACACAGTAACATTACACACTGTCAGAAACTCTTACAGATGAGCATAAAGTTTGTCAACAACACTAGTGTTGCCAAATAATAAAACACACGAAAAAGAAATATAAGTTTTAGTATTAATAAATAAAGATCGAAACAAACATCAGAGACAACAAAATTAGTCTACATATATCTAATATTATTGAGCAAGTTTTCAAGAACTTCAGATCTAAATAAGAGAGTAATGAATAAACGATAAAAAACAAGAATATCACGTTCATTTTTATTCTTCAGACATCACCCATATATTTATTTATTTCGAACGGTAGAAATAATTTCATATTCTTTTATTAACTACATTTTTTACGTTGATTGTTGTAATTTAAGCATTAGAAATTCTTGAAAAGTAAAATGTCAGGCAGTTACAAATCTCTAACTGTAAGGAAAGGTTTTTGTTTTGAAAAATCGCGTTGCTATGTGGTTGCTAAGTGAAGCGATTACATAGTTTAGTAGCGCTGGGTGTATTGAAATATTATTTAGGAATGTTTGCAAGCCGTGAAATATCTGTAATCGTTTTAGAATATTCAGGTGGTTGAATAAGTACAAAATAAGCTGAAGTGCTTTAAATGTGTTCGGATATTTTTAAAAATCGCATTAGTATGTGATTTATTCTACTGTAAGTATGGCTCTTTATATTGATAAAAGGGTGGAAGATCCATCATCAGGATCTCTGAAAACATTACTTACTTGGCATAAATGTTTTCCTGTTCTGGCTTGTGCATCCTATGATGACAGTACAGGAGGCCTTGTGAGTATGTATAAAGAAGATGGTTCTGTATTAAAAAGTAGAATTACATCACGTATAGGTACTCAAGTGACTGCACTTGCATGGCATCCGACAAAAAAGTGTTTGTTGGTTGGCTGGGAAAGTGGAGATTTATCTATCTGGAGTGAAATCGGTGGTAAAGAGGTCTATTCATTTTCTAAGCACCATAATAATATAATATGTGCTTTACGCTTTAATGAAAATGGTAAGATTTTTGTAACTGGTGATACTGATGGAGCTCTCAATGTATGGAAATTTGATGTTAGTGGAAATTTTGAAATTTTACTTACTCATTCGTTAAAATATGCTATTATTGATGTAGTTTTTCAAAATGTAAACAATAATAATAAAGACAAAGAAATCAGTCGTTTAGCGAGAGCTGCTGTGGATGGTGATGAAAAGGCTTTAAATATGTTTTCTAGTTGGCAAGAAGATGGTGCACACGAAAACAAACTACAGTTTTTCAGTAAAGATGATGACTTTGATATCTTTGTAGGCTGCCAATCTGGTATTGTATATTATGTGAAAAAAAATGGTTACTGTGAAGCAATCCTCCAGATGGAAACTTCAATCAGATATCTGGCACATTATCGTGAGAAAGACATCTTAATTGTCATCTCTAGGTCTCTGATTTTAGCACAATTTAGTGTGACCCAAGATGGATCAGTAAATGAATTAGTGAAAATTAAATTGAGTGGAAAACATACTGATGCAGTTATGACTTGGGCCGGAGATGCTATATTAGCAATAAGTGCTGGCGAGAGTTCTGTACATCTGTGGAATGTTGAATATGGCCAGAGTACAACTTTGTGTTTACCTTCAGCCAATCCTGCTCATCAGATCAGTTACATTTCTTTTTTACCAAGCAAAAATATTTTAACAGCAAGTACCATTGAAGGACACCTTTTTTCTTGGAACTTGACATATTATGATGATGATGACATTGGTTCTGAAGTTGAAATTTTATTAAAGGTACCTGGTAATATCAGAAGTTTTGAATGGTGTGAAACTCTTGAAGTAATGGGGCTTATAACAACATCTGATGTGTTTATAATATCAAAAGAAAAAGTGTGTTATGCATTCGATGATGGCATATCAGCAGTACAAATGTCAGCTAGACAAGTAGTTATAGAACTGATATCTCGAGATCTTGCTGTCCATCTTTTAACTGAAACTGAAATTAAAAGAGTATTTTTGAGCAAAATTACAGTTGCTTTATATTGCAGTGATAAACTTATTTTTTATGAAGTTGATTTTAATGACAAGAAAACAATGCATATGGGAACATTTCCTCCTGGATCTGTAAATGTTTTATTACATGACCAAAGTGTATACATCATTAATGAGGGAAAAATCAGTGTTAAAACATTTCAAGGAACTCTTAAAGCATATTTTACATTTGCAAATGATGAAGGAGAACCTTCTGTTATGGATGCTTGTGATAAGTTTTTAGTTGCAGCTTCTAATATAGGTGTAATTAAAGTTTGGGATATCAGTGGCAGAGAGGCAAAACTATTGTTTGCTTCTGATAAAGTTAAAGATATATTAAAAGATAAGCATATTGCAAGTATTAGGTGCAACAGTAAAGGTAACAAAATTAGTTTCACAGCACGAATGAAAACTAAAACAGGATTTATATACGATCCTTGTTTATATGTCTTGGATACTGAAAAAAATGTGATTTGCCGATTTGATTTTTCCACAGGTTATGGAATCGATCATGAAAATGAAAAAGCCAATGCCACAAACCAACAGTTTGGCCAAGTAATATGTGGCCGTTATCCAGTGGAACATTTCTGGATAAATGAAGATCCTCGAATGGTAGTTTGTGAAGCAAAACTTCTACCTTTACCCCTTAAAAGAAGCCTTGCAAATAACAGCTTTAGGAAAATACTGACTAAAGGCAATCCTAATGAAAATGAAAAGAAATCAGAATCTGTAGTTGTATCATTATATATCACACCTGAAAAAATACTTATTATTCAAGATTATTTCTTCCTAACTGACGATCAATCAAATTTACTAGGAGTCAAAATTCCTTATTATTATTTGTTACAAAAAGCAAAATTGAATGACCATTTGGAAGATACATCATCATCTAGAAGCCTGAATGATCACAAATCACTTGTCCAGAGGAAAACTATGCAAAATTTTATAGGCCTTGAAGAATGTGATAAAAATTCAAAAGAAGCACTGCTGAATTTTGGTTATTTTTTTGCAGTCGGAAATTTTGAAGAAGCATTCCTTGCAATAAAGTCTATCAAATCAGAATCTGTGTGGCAAAATATGGCAAGGATGTGCGTGAAAACTAAGCGTTTAGATGTGGCTAAGATATGTATTGGGAAAATGGGTCATACTCGAGCTGCTAGAGCTTTAAAAAGTGCAGCTAATGAACCAGAAATTGAAACTAAAACTGGAATACTTGCTATTCATTTAGAAATGTATGATGAAGCTGAAGCACTTTTTAAAAGCTGTGGCCGTTATGACTGGGTGAACAAATTATACCAAAGTCGGGGCCAGTGGCAAAAGGCCTTAGAAATAGCTGAAAAAGAAGACAGGATTCATTTGAGAGATACTTTTTATAACTATGCAAATCATTTAGAAAGGGAAGGGGAAATAAATGCAGCCATAAAATTTTATGAAAAATCAGGTACACATCACTTTGAAGTTCCCAGAATGTTGTTTGAAGATCAGAGGGCTTTAGAAGCATATGTCCAGAAAAGCAAAGATCCTGAAATTCATAGATGGTGGGCACAGTACTTAGAAAGCATTGATGAGATGGAGACTGCTTTGCAATATTATAAAACTGCTGAAGATTATTTGTCATTAGTACGCTTGTATTGTTATTGCAATAATTTAGAAAAAGCAGCAGAAATAGCTAATGAGACTGGAAATCGTGCTGCATGTTTTCATTTAGGTAGACAGTTTGAAAACCAAGATAACATCAAAGAGGCTATTCACTTTTTTACGAAAACTAGAGCTTTTACTAATGCTATCCGCATCTGTAAAGAGAATGGTTTAGATGAGCAGTTAATGAATTTAGCTATGATGGCAGGACCAGAAGAAAAAGCAGATGTAGCACAGTATTTCCAGCAGCAGGGTCAATTAAGTAATGCCATTTCACTTTACCATAAAGCTGGGAATCTTGAATATGCCATTGAGCTAGCTTTCCAAGAGGGAGAATATGATGTACTTCAGAGGATTTCTTCAGAATTGCCACCTGATGCAGATCCACAGATACTTCAGCGATGTGCAGAGTTTTTTATTCAGAGAGGAAAATTTGATACAGCTGTGAATCTCTTCATTATGGCTAACAAATATGAGGAAGCTCTAAATCTCTGTGTTGAAAATAATGTTACAATAACTGAGGAATTAGCAGAAAAGTTCACTTTGGACAAAACAGAAAATGATAAAAAATTACGAGCATATATTTTAGAAAAAATAGGAGAGTCCTGCATGCTTCAAGAAAACTATCATCTAGCAGCTAAAAAATTTACCCAAGCTGGTGATAAAGTGAAAGCAATGAAAGCACTGCTCAAATCAGGTGATACTGAAAGGATAATTTTCTTTGCTAATGTCTCTCGTCATAAAGAAATATATGTGATGGCTGCAAACTATTTGCAGACTCTTGACTGGCGAAACAGTGGAGATATAATAAAACACATTATTACTTTCTACACCAAAGCCAAAGCTTTAGATCTTCTGTCTAGTTTTTATGAGGCTTGTGCACAGGATGAAATTGATGAATATCAGAACTATGAAAAAGCTCTGGAGGCATTATCAGAAGCTTACAAAAGTCTTTCTAAAGTAACAAATGGTAGTAATTCAGAGAAATTAGAAACTCTTAAAACAAAACTAGAAATTGTAAAGAAGTTTGTCGATATTAGGCAACTGTATGAAAGTAATCCTGACGAAGCTGTGAAAAAGTGTAGAGATTTGCTTCATCTTGAAAATGTTGATATTGCAGTTCGAAGAGGGGATATCTATGGCTTTTTGGTGGAACACTTTTGTTCACAAGAAAATTATAAAGTAGCTTATTCTATAGTGGAACAAATGCAGAATACATTACCTGATATTAATTTACCATATTATATAAAAGTGGATAATCTGAAAGCTATTTATAAAGCTTTAGATTTAAAGCCTAATTCACAGACAAGTCTTATGGAAGATACAAAAACACAAGAAAATGAACTTTCTGATAATGAAGAAATAGAGGAGGAGTACCAATCTGTAGATAATAGATTTTGAATTTTTTAGCGATATCATAACTATTTAGGCACTGATATCCCAACATTCTGCAGGAAACTTTCATTAATATTATGCAGTAAATCCTTGCTAAACATGGAAGTTACGTCATTAATACAGTATTACTTATTTTCTTAAGTCATCAATATTGTGAGAGAAAATTGCATATGTACAAATGCTACAAGCTTTTTCTTATATATCATTATAATACACGAAAATATAGTTTTGGTGATTTTTTAAATATGTATTTTGTGAAGAGTGATTATATGTACAATCAAGCTCAAGTATCTGGAAAGCTTGGGAAATACTGAATTCTCAACATATGAAAATTCTGGATAGATGAGCATATAAAAACTGGAATTCAAATTGGAAAAGCCAAACAAATGGAAGAAATTTCTAGTCAGAAATTATAAAAACAGTAATCTTTTTTTACCAACTTGAATATGAACAGCCTGCATTTAAAATTATATAAGATTTCGGGGTGGGGGTGGGAAATGCATTTCAAACATAAAAACCAATGTATTTCGTTCGCTTTAAACATGAAAGTAAAATATCTTTCCTGATTATAAAATCCCACTGAACACGGAATTTGACGGAGATGTCATCAAACTTTCAGCAGACAACTTGGCAGAAGTTTAATGGAATAGATCAATCTTTAAAAAGAACCAAATTATGAATATAACATATAAAACAATGAATCTCTTGTTGCAATTTTCCACACTGCATTCTCTCTATTTATCCATTTTCAAATAAACTTCCACGTTATGCTTTTTTTTTTTTTTTGATGCCAAGATTTTGTAATTTAGAAACAACTGTACGACATTCTTCCATGAAAAAGAGGTCCCCAAATATGAAGAAAAGATAGAACTTGTACATCTCTTTACACACAAAAACAGAAACAAAACAAAAAAAAAAAAAAAAAAAAAAAAAAGTTCATGAGAAGTAATTGGGTTTACATAAAATCAAGATCGAATTCTTATGATTGTGTTATGCTGTTTTTGGTGCTAAATTACACTATTTGGGAACAATGTTCTATTGATATAACATGCTTGATAACGGTAATTTATTTTTGAGGGAAAATTTGTTTTCTAAAATTCTAGAATATTCTGGTTAGTTGAATGAGATATAGTTGAGCTTTTACTGTGTCTTTGTAAATAGCTATATACACATTTTTACTTTATAGTTAGTTAAGGTAAGTATATATCTGCATTAATATTTTATTTATTATTGTAGTCTTCTATCCTAAACTTGAAAATTTTATTCCTAGGAAATGGTACATAATAATAATTTACTAGAAAATAAAATCTAAACATCTACCTATAATCTTAAAAAAATATACTCTAAAACTGTGCTTAGTTGCAACTTGGATATACCAGAATGGTTTAAAAAAAATTCATTATTTATTTCAAAACCTGCCACTTTCAGTTTTTTTGGGGGGGGGATACATATTTTGTGATGCAAACAAATAATATATTGTTCACAAAAACATCCAACTTTACAGTCTGTGTCCAGAAAGTAAGTTTCTCCTAAATTTCTCAACACATGGTTACATAATGTGGCTGATGATAAATGTTGCTAAAAAAAGAGCCCAAAAAGATTACATATTTATACTTTAAATTAACATAGCTGTAAAGATGTAATTGCACTGAAACCTTTCATGGCAATCAGCTTTATAAATAATCATCAATATTAAATGCCTTCATAGAAAACCAGAATTATATGGAAATATGGGTGTTGGTTTGGGAAGGTTTCACTGGATAGTATAAATGGCATGTATAGGGGTAATTCTGTGGAAAATTATTTTACTTAGATTATACAGTAAACTCTTGCAAATGTGGGACTTATGTCATTAATACAATATGCATATGGCAAAATTGCATTCTACAAAGTTATCTTTCTATGAAAAAAAAATGTGTTAGGTATAGTTCAAATTAAGAAATTATATATAATTTAAGTAAACCTAAAAATAATTTTAATTAAAACTGAAACATGAAATAAGTGCTAATTGAAAGCATTTTTACAGTTGATACAATTATTTTTTTAAAAAAGCTGTTTTTTTTTTTTTCCCCTTTGAACAATGACAGATGCAACTCTTACGATTTTATGGTAAGGGGCATGTTTTTAATCCTCACATAAAATGTCCTCTTCCTTCTTCATTTGGATCAGTCTTCATAGCAGAATCAGACAGTTCTGTAACAATTCATTTAACTTGTTTAATTTAAAGGTGTTTATCTTCTTTTTCATTATCATTACTTTCATTGTCAGCCAATGGCATTTAATATTGATTTAAGATTAATCGTCTTCATTTCATAAATTCCTTTGACTTCCCCTTCCATATCCTTCCTAAAAATGTTTGCTGCCAATTGCTTTAGCAATTTGCATGATTTTTTTTTGGGGGGGGGATCATTTTTAATCGGAATCCTTAAAACTGTTAATAACTTATATCCAGAGCTGATGCCAGTAAGCATTTAATGTTGATAAATGAATGTCAAACTACATATGAATGAAATTCTAACACTGAACAAATTAAATAGAAACAATTAAGATAAGATGTATATGAGAAATTCTATTCTGCAAATCCCCATTCAAGAAGAATTTAGGATACATGGAACATACCACAAAAAACTTACACAGTGTATGGATGTTTTTATGGTTTTCTGCTAATTTGTTTCACATTAGATACAGTAAGACCCCACGTCCGTTCCATTAAAGTAGAGCGTAATATGAAACAGCGTTAAAAGAGGTTATCTCATCATATAAATAATGGGGTTAGGGGAAGATGGGTAGAAAATTGATCAGGTATTTTACCATTAAATTTACTAATTATGTTTTTATAATAATAAAACAAAAATTTATTTCTTACAAATATAGAAACATAATAAACAAATATACATATAAAAAATTCTCAGTCAGTATGTTTACATTTCAGATCATTCAGTCTCTACTGTATTTCCAATTTTCTGCCTTTTTATCAAGAAGGTATCTAATGTAATTTACCTTTTTCTTTTTTACGCTCTGTAAGAAGTTGTTGGCAAGTGGATAAGGCACCCTATCTTGCCTTTGAACTCCTGCCAAAATTTGGGTCATTGTCAATAAATTGGTCCATAATTTCTGTTATAGTGGTGAAACTGGTTTTTAGAAGCACTGTTGAAAGTTCTTTTTGCTCTTCTTTAGAATCACTACTTTCAATATTTTTGTTTCTTCTTGGTCCGCTATTTCTTGAGTTCATCAAAAACTTGCTGCTGTTTCTTGCACTATTTCTTCGATATCTTCCACATTCACCTCATCTAAACTGGTTTGTTTTGCTAATTCGACTATTTCATTCATATCGACAGTGTCCAGTGTCACTCCCCTTGGTTAGATCTGGCCAAATGTCCTTCCATATCCCTTTCAAATATTTTTCTGTTACCTCATTACCTTTTCTTCTTTACATAGACGTTCTTTGACTTAATGCTGCATGCAATTTCAAGGAATCCCACTATTCAAATAAAAGAGCGTTAAACGAAACAGCGTTAAGCGGGATCTTACTGTATTAATACTACCGTATTCAGTTTCATCCACTTGATGCCCTAGGGCTCCATGAAAAGAAAACTATAATGATTTTTCATAAAGTTGTAATTCATTTAAAAGCAGTATAAAACATACTGATCTTTATGACAATAATAAGATGCTGAATTAGTACTGTTATATTATTTATAAACTGTTTTCAGAAGATATTCTCAGGGTCATTTTAACTTCGACAGAATTTAAATTTGTTGTTCTGAATCAGTGCATCCTAGCTATACTGAGATAAAGTATATATTCACTACACAAATTATGGATGTAGAAGCTCCCATTATCATTTAACGGAAAATCACTTTTAGTTGCTTGATAGAAATCAAGCAGTAAGAAGTCAGCAATTTCATTCTAATACCTGAGACTATGATAAGTTTTTTTCAGGATGCATAGTCATTAATGTTGTTAAAATAAGTATCTTAGATCAGTGATTTTAGCAGACATTTTGGAGTCCATGAAAAATTTACAAATTTAAATTTCCTTTCGAAAAACATGATAAAATCAAGTGTGGTGATTAATGACTAGAAGTTGGGAAAAGTTAACATTATGTAAAAAGGGGTCCATCCTACATTATATAACATCTACATTTGGGTAAATTTTTGGGCTGATCTTTAAATTATATACTGATTTTTGCTATAAGTTGACAGAATATTAAGCATTAATATTATGGTTAAATCAGTTTGTTAAAAAATTTTCTATTAAAAAAATTCAAAATTTCTGGGATATATAACTACAGTATTGGCTTTAATGCTTTAAAATTTCTCAATTTCAATATACAGTGTGTGAAATAACATATTTTCAAAAGGAATATTTATTATGACATTAAAAATAGTTTAGTACATTATAAATTAAGGTTTATTTATTTTACAATTAAAAATATTAGTTTTATTAATATTTTATAATTTGTTTTTTAAACTTAGGGACAAAATATGTATGATTTAGTTACATTCTGTGCAATAACTTATGCAAGATTAATTAATTTAATCATGTCTAATGGAAATACAGGAGCATTTCCCAATTAACCATTATCAAATTATTTAACCTTCTGAACAGCAAGCATGATCGGCTGGCTTTATAACGTCATGAGAAAATTTGTGTGAATAGAAATTTGGATCATTTTAAAGTTACTCCAAGAAATATTTATTTACAATATTAAAAAGGTGTATCACATGGTCTAATCCTGATAATTATGTATCATTAACAGAGGTTTGAAACATAAATTTAGCTGGAAAAATATAAAATTTATCAGTAACTCATGTTTCAGTTAAATTTCTAGAAAAGTACCTGTGCATTTAAATTCCTTATTTGATAGATCAATCTTTATCCAAATTTCCTGGATGCAAGAAATGAATGAAAATACAATTTGTGACCTTCATCAGTTCCACCCAGGCCTGTTTATATGTATTTGTATTATATATATATATATATAGAGAGAGAGAGAGAGGAGAGACCAAGAACTACAGTTTTAATATTTAACCCTGTGAGCGGCACGAGTTTTTGGATCTGTCATGAAGACCTGTATTCAAAGATACTTTATTAGCTAAATTTGTATATTTACTTACTTTAAGCTCTGTTTTCATAAACTTACATTTATTAAGATGATATTTATATTATTAAAGAAAGTAAGAAAGCAAAATATCATAAATTATAAGCTAATATATAACAAATGACAAAAAATCTCATGGCTAGATAAAGCCGGCCATAACGCTCAGAGGGTTAATTTAAAATACTTATAGAGTTAAGTAGATAGTTTAAATTTTCATATCCAAACGAATTAAAAAATATTATTTAAAGAAACAGTAGTTAAATGTAATAAAGATGAAATCTCTAAGATCTTCACTAAGTACAGTGTACTCTCAATTATTCAGGTACAGATTATCATGTGTGGCCATGCTCATGAATGCACAGTCAATGTGCAAGAGTGTGCAAAAAAACAAATGCTCAATTTCGATCACGGAGAAAGATTCTTCCTAACATAGAAGTTGGAGATTTATCTAATTGTCAAGACCATAATGAAGTTGTGTATAAAAAAACTAAAAATATTAAATTTTTTCGTAAACGAAGATAAAAAAAAAATCGAGAAATGTTTTGATGGCTGAGTTGGGCTTTCAATGCTTGAGTGACGCTGATATTGTTTCAAATGTCACAAGAATAGAAGATGCAGAGAGTAATGCTGAAAATACAAGCAAAGAAGATATTAAAAATAATATTAATCCTGAGACAGCAATAACTTCTGCTGAAACTCATTGGATTTCATTGACCATAGGGATTCAAATACAGTAATATAATAGCAATTAAAAAAAACATGCAGTGAAATTTAACAAATATTTAAATGTTCTAAAAAAATTACAGATTTTTTTAAAAATTCATACAGTACATGAAAATTGATAGTCTGAATTATCCATACTCTTTAATTATCCTTGACCTGCTTCCCTGGCATTAGCCTGGATAATCAAGATTATACTACAGTAAAAATACTTTCTTACAAAGAAAAGAGTATAAAAAATAGAGTAATGAAAAATAATTCATTCTTCAGCTATCTATTTCTCTTAAATTCTGTAAGTTCTTTTAAAGAATGAATGCACTGGTTGAAATCAAATGAGTAAAACAACAAACTTTCAGGTAAACAGTAAATAAAAATAGAAAATGGTAATGGACTCTTTCATATACAATTATATATCTGATCAGATATAAATAAATTGCAACATATAGCTATACTATATATAGTATTCTGTGTTTGTCTTAAAGCATTAAGCTATTTTTTAAAATCAAATTTCATACATCTGAAATTAATGGAAACTATGTAAAATAACTTATTTATTTCTTCAAAAGGAAAAAAAGTATAACTTTAAAATAAAAAAAAAAAAAAAGTGCTATTTCAGATTCCTTCTCTATCCACAGGAGGATTAGGATCCAAATACTTCTTTTCATTGCTGGAAAAAAAAAAAAAAAAAAAAAAAAAAAAAAAAAAAACACATTGAATGCATGAATCATTGCCTGCAATAAAAAATTGTAAGTCATCATAAAATTTAAGAACAAACACTGAGAATTTTAAAAATTGTATTCGAGTATTGTTAAGAATAAAGGCAGTTTAACTATTAACCCTCTGAGAGGTTTGAAGAATATTTCAACTAATTAAAAAAACTATATGATCTAGATAGCAATTGAATGAATAAATAGTTATCAAAACAAAGCGTAAAGTCAGTACTTGTACAAATTTAGTATGACTGTAAATACAACTAAGCCCATTTAAAAATGATAACAGGATTAAAAGCAAGCACATTCAGGTAAGATAGAAAATTTCCGTACCGTGAAAATAACTTAATATAATTTATAAATTCCATTAGGAAATTATTAAACTTAGCTCAAATACGAAATTGCTACCTACAATAAAAATCATCAAAAAGCTTTCTGGAACAATTATTAACAACAAATTATTTGGAAGGGAGAAGAAAAAAGAAAGTTAATTTGTTTCTTTTGTTCTGGAGGAAATTTCATTGTGTTTTTAAAGCCTTCGAATTTTATATTATATAATATTACACAATATTGTATTCCTGCATAAATGTTACTGCTTTCTTCCATTGCAGGCAAATTCCACAAACATGTATTTAAAAGCAAAGTTTAAAACAACAACAAAACAAAAAAATAATAATCACAATTTGCCTAAAACTTTTGGAACTTGGAATATATCAAGAAGAATAGATATGAAAACATCAACATTAAAGCTGAAAAATTGTTATGCACATGGTTGTCTAGAGAATTATTTTGTGCATGGCTGCCAGAATTTGACACATTTTAAAATTTTGGCAACTTCTGCTAAGGTGGTTGGGCTATTACATAAGTACCTAAGCTAGAAGATGTAATATGCTATCTCCAGTTTTTAGATGGCCTCCACTGAAATGCTATTCTTAAATATGAAAATAAATAACAATAATTAAAAATACATAAATGAAAATAATTCCATTAATTAATTTAATAACCAGTTGAACTTATATAGCTTCATAATTCAATAATAATAAATTTAAAAAAAAAAATAGTGACTTTCATATTCGAATGCATGATAAAATGGTAGGAAAAAGAATTGACTAAAACAATGCCCAATTTTAGTGGCACCACCTAAACAATGAATAATTAACTAAAAACAGTACATTGCATACTACATTTTTTCAATAAGATTCTACTATAGATATAATACAAAAAAATATTACTTCTTCAGATAGTGCATGAATTACAAATATTTTTAATAAAATTAACATCAAGTTGTTTTTAGAATTACAGGTAGGCTGATAAAAATTAAAGAGGGAAAAAAGTGTGAAAGTATTTTGAGAAGGGGACATACATCCCGAGTAAATTTTAATTAATACTAACAAATATTTAATTGCATCCTAAAATTAATAATCACCTAATGTTATACTTACTTAGGATACCATCTGTGTTTAGTGGTATATGTCATTTTTGCTAACTCTGGTATGGTAGGTCCATCAGGTTTGAAGCAATATTTGGCATCCCGCCTATACTGTACCTTAAGCACTGAATCTCCCTACATTTGAAAATAAATAGTTGCTAAATATTTAATTACAATACAGCACATATTTACTTAATGTTAACTAAATTAATTAAAACAAAATATTTGCATTTCATCAAATATTTAAAAATAAAAATTAAGAAATAAAACTATTTAGTATTAGTGAAGATAATTTTTTCCTTAATACAAATTCACATCATTTAATGCACAAAGTGAGATTATATTCAATATGTTTTTATTTCACATGCACATAGAATATGAAAGAAGAGGAAAGGAAATTTATGCTGTTAAGGTAAAAATAATTTTTAACTGCAGTAAAGTTCTTGATAAGAATATATATACATATATATAAAACCAAGAAAAACTTTTTTTTTTTTTTTTAAATACACTATTAAAACTTAAGTAATTAAATTATTATATGCAATTTTGAATAGCAAAATTTTGCATTTTATAATGCAAAATATATCTATTAGCACAATTATTTATTTATCAAATATCACACTTCGCACTTGAACCAAAAAAAATTCGCACTTGAACCAAAAAATTCAGTTCAAGAGCAATATCGGAAAATAGTTTTAAATTGAGCATATCTTTAGAATTTCCGATACAGAGGCTCACGCACTAGAGATAAAAATGTTTTTTCTGTACAACATTGCCATTGCTCACTTTGAAATCCTTGAATTTGTTAATCAAAAATTCGTTAAAGTTTTACAAAATATGAAATCGATAATAAAAAAAATTTCCAAATTTCAAATTTGGGCTTCCACATGCCCATATTCGCGGTAGGATTACGTCATTCAAAATTCGATGGCTCTTTGTACCGTTGTTTTATCATAGTGCGAGAAACATACATACATTTATGCAGATTTTTCATTATTAAATTTCTTCACATATAATGTAGGACGCTAATATTTGGTGGCAACAGTTTCAAATGTGAAACGTACATTTATAGAGAACCAATGCAAAATTGCAAAATGAAAACAATCCTTCAGGAACAAAACTCCTTTGGACTAAAAATGAAGAAAATTTTTTACTAGTTCTTTGTAGAAAATATTGTGTGATGGTAGATTGTCTCTCACACTCATTCCATCATCGTGCAGCTTCCTCCCATATGCGATGGAGGGACAAAATGTACATACCAGATGCACCTTGCTCCTCCATGTAATAATGCAATAGAGCATTCTATCAATGGCCTTTAGTCCTTCACTATGGGTCATCATTTTAGATTTCTGGTGTCTTCAACCTCTTCGTTTTCTGATTCATCTTATCCAATCTTATCCAATTGTCTTTCACCAGTGCAACTACTTCTGCATGTCCTAAAATTTCGCAGTTTTTAACTTGTCCTATCCATTCTTCAACAATCACCATCAGTAACTACTTCGCAGGCTGGAATTTTCTTAATTAGGTCAACTAGCTCTTCTCTGCTTTCATGAAATTCGTTTCCAGCAACTTTTTCCAGGAACGAATAAGGCTTATCTGTTTGATTTCATCCAAGAATGAGCTGTTCATCCAACAATATCCAACATATTTATTTTCTTCAGTTTCTCTAATATATCACACCCATTCTCCATGGCTAGGACAAGAGACGAAAGAAGTTTATGTCTGTATTTTTTTTCAATGCATGCAAAATACCCTGGTTCACTGACTGACACACTGAAGTTACATTCGGATGGAGAAATATGGCTCTTATATCTTTGTCTTGTAAATGTTGTCTAGAATGAGAATTGCTTTTCTTGTTAGATTTTTTTATTTTAAAACCTTTTCCATCGATGGGATGCACTGCTGATGAAATCAATCATTAAGTATTGGTCCATTCATCCATACATTTTACTCTCTTTGCTTCTTTTGTAGCCACCGATTTTTCCAGCGTTTTCGAAGGTAGCATTTGAAAATTCAGACTGGTCTTATTACAATCATAAATTTGATCTCCAGATATATCCTCTTTTTCAATTAGTTTGTTAAAGTTAATCTTGAATATTGAAGCATTTTCCAAGTTAGCAGATAGCTTTTCCCCACAAAAGTTTAACTGCCTGATGCCATACTGCTTTTTTCATCTGTCAAGCCAACCAGCACTAGCAAGTAAATCCAGGCTCTCCTTTTTGAAATTCATCAGAAAATTTTAGTGCTTTCTCTTGTAAAATTGGTCCTAAAATGTGTGCCCCTATTCTCTTTGCTGGCTGAACCACAAACAAAGCGCCTCACTCACTTTTTCGTATTCACCACCTTTCATACTTTTCTTTCCTGCACATGCTCTTTTCACACACCAAGACTCGATCTTGGACCTCTTCTTCTTCCACCATATCAAAATAATCCATCCAACACCTAAATCCATGGTAATTTTGTTTACACTTTCCCCTTTGTCCAGTCTCTTTAAGGCATCTAGTTTCATTTCCACTGTCATATTAGTTTTCTTTTCTTTTCGAACAACATTTTCACTTCACAGAATACCAAAAGTTACTAAAAATATGTAACACTTATATGGCTGGATGTGAAGTCAAGAACAATATCCGCAATGAACTGGTGTAAAATTAGAAATATTTGCATGCAGTCACAAAACTTCAAACAAGTCTCCTAACGTTCTAGTACAATAGAAAGGAATGTGAGGCAATGGCCAACCCCTACCTGACTTTCTTCATATCCTTGAAAGAAGCAAACAGCATTGCCAAGTATTAAAACATGTCTTGAAATTTGTTAGGCAGTTCCAAGAATTAATTTTCACAACACTAAAATGCCAAAAATTACAGAAAAGAACACTCAAATCTTTGAACAGAACAGAAAAGACCTAGGCATAAATAATAATTATATATTTATTATTTCTATATCAAGCAAGGTAGTAATTACAATTTTGAAAAACTAATTTTGGACTAGAAAACATCTTGCGCAATATGCTGCAAAATAAGTAAAATATAAAAAAATGTAGTAAGCTCGCCTAAAAGTTACCAAGAGCTGCTGCTCCAAAAAGTTCAACACGTTTTAAAAAAATTAATACATATGAAAATCAAACCATCAAACATGTAAAACATTAAAAAAACAGAATCAGATAAAAAAGTAAGTGGAAAATGGTAAATTAGCCCAACTCGACTTCCAAACTGGCTTTTCAAGGGAAATTTAATTTATTTGAACGTCGAATCAAGCTAACCCCATTACGTGTTTCGCCGAAACAGACAAATGAAACTTTTTCGCTACAAAAAACTTTTTTAATTTAGACAAAGTGTCTTGGAAATTTTAATAGTCTCAATTCTCTGTCATAGTTTTCTAGGTTCTCTTTACAAAGGTTCTCTATGAAAGCATCTTAACTAAATAGCTCTCATGTTCTTTCTATGTTCAAATAACCAACTAACCTAGTTTAAGTGTGATTTCCAAGTGAAGTTACTATCAAAACCCAAATACTTATTAAAAATCATGTAGCTTGCCAATCGGGAGTAACATGAAAGAGCCAATAATTGAATTGCTGTCACGGTATGCTGTTTCTAAACCTACATGGTCATTCTTTAATTAAATATAATTTATTTGTAACTTCTACAAGAGCTGACGGTAAGAAATGAAGTGGAAATAAATAATATCGTGTGCAATCTTGATTAATATAAAATTAGAAATATTTGCATTCAGACAGAAAGTTTTTTTAAATATTTGCAATTACTTTATAAGAAGGATTTATTAATAACCGTAATAATTAATTATTATATTACTGATGATTAGAATTCAGTTCTTGACAATTACATTCTAAATTAGAATTTTAAGGATATAATGAAAATACGCTACACATAAAAATACATTTTAGGATAAAAAATGAGTTGATTTTTTATGTTTAAAAACTTCTTAAATTCATTTAATAAACATCGTATCCTCATTGTTAATTGAATCCAGAATGTTGGGTGTCGTTTATATAATTATTCTTACTTATCCACAGAACCTCCTGACTTATCCAACCATTAAGTAGCTGCAGATCATTTTTACATAACCATTGAACTTCCATTAATTCTGCCTCTAGAGGGTTGTATGTTTATATCATAATTTGACTTTTATAAAAATGATTATTCTAAATCTTATGTTTCTATAAAAATATACTGTGCTTTAAAAATATGGATGATAGTATCATCTGTTCTTTCAGCCAATTCATAAGCAACAGCTTGTTCAGAAATAAATTATGCAGTTAATGACATAAAATATTTTCATAAAATTCAAATAAACATCAAACGAAAGTTCTCAGTTTTAGACAATTTGATTTAAACAAAGTTAAAGTAAAGTAGCAGACGGTAAAATGCCAAAGATAAAAATTTACTCTTACAAATATTTCTTTAAAAAAGGGAAGAAAGAGAGAAATTTAAAAAAATAGTTAAAAATTTGAATAATATCATCTATAATTTAAAAAAAAAATAGCTTTTCATATAGTATTAATAAATATATATTACACATCACTGAGGGAAAAAATTTCATATAATTAATTCTCCGCAAAATTTTATTTGAAATTTAAGGTTAAAAATAGCTGTGGCAATTCACTGTAACAAAAATCCATAAACCACATTTGCCATTATTATCGCTCAAAAAAAAGATGCTAAATTTCAAAACGCGAAAATATGTAAATTCATGTATATCTTAGAAAATTTTGAATAAAAAAGTCTAATTTTTTGCAGGTTATGCTAAAAAATACACCTACTTTAAGATGATGGTAAACATTGTATAAGTTATAATTCAAAAATTTTTTCCAAATATTTATAAATTTTTTTTTTTTAAAATAGAAATTTAAAAAATAAAACACAAAAAATGGCTAAATTTTATTTGGAATGAACCTAAATTTCAAAACGTTAAAGGAAAAATTAAAAAGTTTAATAAAAAAAGAGATATTAATAAATATTTGCCAAATTCAATTAACATTGAGGAGCTAAAATTTTGAGAGCTAATATTTTAAAAACTAGTCATGCGATTTTTACAAAACTTGGCATTCTGGCATAATTTGAGTCGTAGAATCGAAATATGAAAGAAAATTGGTATGTTATTTCAGAAAAAGTCTGATT